TGCCTGAATTCCTTCTGGATCCACAGAATCAGAGTTCTCAGCTGTGGTGCCCAAATAATGTGAGTTGAAATCCACTCCAACTGCTTTGAACTTGACACCTCTAGGCTGATATTCTCTTTCACAGATACAATATTCAAAATTACTATACTAGCAGATATTTCTATAGATGATAAGCATCATTTCCAAAAACAAATATATTTAATTTATATAAGTGGAGGTATGTTTAAGACGTTTTGAGAGGGGCCTATCAGAATACTTGTGGGGCTACTGTGACCCTCTCCAATGTATACATTCTTTTTCTCCTTTGTTAACAGCATGCTTAGTTTCCCAGTCTGACTGTTCACTCTGGGTTAGATAGAAAATTTGACATCTCACATTTTCAGGCAATTTACTTTGCAAATTAACACAATAGAGATTTATATTTTAATGTTGAAATCCTTTAATAAAGTAAATAATTGTCTCTCTTTCCAGAATATTTGTCTTATTACTCTGGATGCTTAATAATAGGATTATGTGTTATAAACATGTGTTTAGGCATCCAAATATATGCACAGATGGAAAATATCAAGCTTACATTCCCCAAAAGTGGACACTCATGAGGTCTTGCCTTTGTTTTCTCTAAGGACTATCCAAATCAGAGTTCAATGAAGGAAGTTTACAGAAATCTTGTCCCTAGTCTCCTAGTTTCCACCCACAGCAGGCTCTGTTTAGTGGCCTTCAGAGAATTCTCATGGGGGTGGATAGGAAGTGGATTGGGCATGGACTTGAGCTCCTATCTGCTGTTTGACCAATGGATTTTTGGATAGACTTGTCATGCAAAAAATAGCTTGATTTATTCCCGTGTGGTAGTAGAGACAGACTCCCAGGACCCGGATGCCCCTTAACACCCCAGAGGACATTATTCTGAATAACTCAGTAAACTGATTAGTAGAGCTACTAGGCATGATAAGTATATTCCAAAAAAAGATCTTTTTCCAATTACAAAAGTAGTGCATACTCCTTGAAAAGAATACTAGAGGGGAAGGGAGAAATGTAGGAAAGATAAGAAGGGAGAAAGTCCAAGCGAAGTGCTGACTTGACAGTCGAAGCCCTGTGGACTAGAACCCAGCCTTCCTTGTCGTCTGCTTTTGGGTAAGTTACACCACACGTCTGAGCATCCTTCTCATCTGTGAAATGGGAACCACGTCTCTCGCAGGGTCAGGGTTTGTTAAAGCACACTCTGAGGAAGGGTTTAGTGAAATGACTGGAGTGGAGGGAGCAGCTGTAACACTATATACCAGAGAGAACAGTGTTGTCAAGGCTGGTAGCAATGGGTGGTGGTTACTGAGTATGTCCTTTCTGGGCAAGCAGACTTGACTTTGAACCCCTTTTGCTTGTCGGCAGAGTTATTGCTATTGGTATTCCTAGTGTTCTAGTCAGCTTTTACATTGCTGTGGCTAAAAGAACTGAACAGAACAGTTTTAGGGGAAGAAAAGTTTATGTGGGGGCTCACAGTTTCAGAGATCTCAGTCCATGGGCAGGAGGCTTCATTCCTCAGGGCTCAGGGTGAGTCTGAACATCATGGCAGAGAGTGTGGTAGAGGAAAGTGGCTCACATGATGATCAGAAAGCAGATAAAGACTCCACTCTCCAGATACAAATTAGATACCCCATAGCTCTGCCAGCAATGAACCACTTCCTCCAGCCACACCCCACTGTCTCAGTTTCCCACTCAATTAATCCCATCAGGGATTAATTAGTTTACTGCTTAGGTTAAGGCTATAACCCAATGGTTTTGTCCTCTAAACCTTCTTGCATTGTGTAATGTAAGTTTTTGGGGGGATACCACATCTAAACCATATCACATAGCATTAAATCTGTATTTTTTTTTTTTTTTTGTACCAGGGGTGCTTAACCACGGAGTGACTTCCCCAGCTCTTTTTATCTTTTGTTTTGAGACAGGGGTCTCTCTAAGTTGCTAGAGTCTCACTAAGTTCCTGAGGGTAGCTTTGAACTTGCAATCCTCCTGACTCATCCTACCGAGCTGCTGAGTGTATCACATTTTTTAAAGAAATTTTTGAGCTCTCTTAACTTAATATTATGATTATCAAAAATAGATTTCAATTACGTCTGTTTTCACGATGTATTAACTGAAATCTCCTAATCCTTGCCTTAACCTTACAAGCATTTTTCTTAGTTTGTGAGAATGATTAAAAAATAAAAAATAAAACCCTCAGAAACAATTAATGTTCCTAAGAAAGTAAAAAAAAAATCTTTGCAGTAATGTTTCATTTTATCGTCATATTTTTCCTGAGAAACCAATGAAGAATGGCAGTTTTATATGTAAAACAGTAGTTAGCCTTTATACAGCTGACATTTTTCTAAAAGCCTAGAAATATTTCACATTTGAAGAAAAACACCCGGTTCCCATGTTGGATCCGATTAAAATTCAAATCTATATTAACATCTCATTACTGTTTGAAAAAGCCAACTGCACACTAATGGAAAATGCCCAGCGTCTGCCAGCCCTGCTTTCCCCTGGTTCTTTAGCAAGGCTGTCCTGGGACCTGGGAGGGCGGGGCCACAGTTACATCCTTGTTAAAACAGCAGCCTGAATGCTGGCCCTCAGTTTTGGTTTTTCCTTCCTTTTCCCTCTTCCATCCCTGCATTGTTTCAGCTGCCAGTCTTGCAGTATTTTCTTTCATGCAAGGGAAAAGGAAGGGCAAAAATGACTTTGAAAGAATAACATTTCTTTCTATGCACTTAAATAGAACACTCAACACAGAACATCCTGTGTTTCCTTTTAATGGATGACACGCTGACTTGGTGGTGAGCTGACTAAACACCAGGGCTTGACGTTCAGATAGGTGTTCTTGCAGTCGCACTTACCCGCTGGAGAACATTCTGCTCGGCTATTTTAAGTGACAATCTGTCTTTTTCCAGGCACTCTGGTTCTTCTTATCCCCCGATGACTTTTCTCTGTTATACTTATCACCTTCTGACGTGTGTTTATTATGGTTTTTGTTTATTCTCTGACTTCCCTGGTCATAGGTAAATATTACAGGAGCGAGCATCTCTGTTTTGCTAGCTGTTGGATTCCCTCTTCTAAAAACAGGACCAGGCCCAAAGTAGGCACTTAATAAATATTTGCAGCTGCAACAAATAAACTAGTTCCTACCTCAGTGTTCTCTCCTGAACAACTGGGGGAAAATAATAGATAAAAAATATGTTATGAACACATTCTATAAATATATTTAAGCCTAGTAGATACATTGGAGATTACAGGTCTATTTGGAGTGTAGTTGAATAAGAAATAAATGAGTTGGATGAAAGAGCAACATTCCCTTGTCACTCTGTTCTCCTACTCGGCTTTATTTTTCTTCCAACACTGAGTCCCCACATTCAGTATAATACATAGTTCTTTGTTTTTGTCTGCCTCTCCTTAGTAGAATGTTAAGTTTTTTTTTTTTTTTTGTATGGGGGTGGGTACCAGGGATTGAACTCAGGGGCACTCGACCACTGAGCCACATCCCCAGCCCTATTTTGTATTTTTTTAGAGACAGGGAATCACTGAGTTGCTTAGCACCTCTGTTTTGCTGAGGTTGGCTTTGAACTCTCAATCCTCCTACCTCAGCCTCCAGAGCCACGGGGATTATAGGCATGCGCCACAACACCCGGCCAAATGTTAAGTTTTATAAGGGCAGGATCTTGGGTGTTTTGTTTCCCATTGCTTAGGCCAGTGTGTGACACAGAGCAAGCACCAAAGACACAAATATGCAAATGTTTCCGTGAGTGTATTCACTCCGGACTGTATCTACCCCTGACCCTGACTCGATCAGGATTTGTGGTGTGATTGGTCACTAAGATCTAGGTACTGCTGAGGCAAATGATGGATGGGGAGATGAGAAAGGAAACAAGATGATCAAGATGATACTGATATTTTAAGTATTTCAATCACAGGGACAACTATGGGTATGGTGGGAAAACAGACAGGACCTGGCACTTAGTAGCTGGTCAGTAACGGTTAGCTATCATCACCATCATTATCATAAACCACATTAGCATCCAGGTGTTGGCACATTAGAGCTTATGGGCCAAATCCAGCCTGTGGCCTATTCTTATAAATAAAGTTTTATTGAACATAGCTCATTCATTTATTTTCTATGAATGTTTTCATGTCTATGGCTATTTTCATTCTAAAACAGCAGAATTGAGTAGCTACAGAGACTGTATGGGTTGCAAAACCCAAAATATTTAGCATCTGGCCCTTTACAGAAAAGGTACTTGAACACTCATCTAGAATATTGGTCTGTCTCCAATATAACTAAGCCTAGAGCCAATCAGGCATGGTCCATGGATAAGTTTGATCCTCATTCTGAAATGGGAGTACAGAAACTAAGTATTTACAAACTTCTATAACAATTTGTCATTGAAAACCCAGTGAATGATTTTGGTTTATACAAAAATGTTGCTTTATGACAGTTTGGAAATTGAAAAGGATCTGCCCTTTCCTAGAGGGATGGGTCTGTTTTGTAATGGGATGTTGATCATATCAGTAACTTTAGTAAGTTATGTTCATGTTGGTTTTAGATGAAAACATCTGGAAGCACATCAGGTGGGAGTGACAAGCATGTCTTAAGATTGCAAGTGACCTGGGAAGGTTGATGAACAAGCACATTAATAACATCGTGAAAATGGATTTTCTATGTAGATGAATGGCTCAGCCAGCCACAGTTCACTTACCAGCTAATATAGTTGTAATGTGTTGCTTGGTATGGAGAGAAGGCAGTCACTTTAGGGTGTTTGGGATGTTTCATGCACATATATAAATAAATTCTCTTTTGGTAAGAACGTTTTAAGTTGATATATCATCTTCTTTGAATAGCAAGTCATCAATTTTCCTGGAAATCTGGTGAAACAACAGTTATATGACCAGCCTTATGTTTTGTTGCATGTGCATGTAAACAAAAAAAGAAAGAAAAAAAAGAAAAAGCCGACTGACTTTTTCCTTTTCTGTTTTAGAATCGGTTCCAAACAGTCAAGCCTGCCAGAAAAAACAGACAAACTCTCAAGAACAACAATGCCTATTATGTGTGGTGGAGGAGCCGCCAGATTTTGATTACCGGACAGACATTAACTCCTTTGGTGTCTCATGCAAGAAATGCCAAGTCTGAATCCAGATATTTTCCAGAATAGCATGAGATCTGCAATTTACAGTGTCTTCTGCAAAAAAAAAAAAAAAAAAAAAAAAAAGCAACTGAGAGAAGGAAGTGCAAGTTAAAGACCACATCTCCTGGTTTCTCGAATTCTGCCATGACTCTTCCTGGTAAATGGACAGACTGAGTACCTGTGCTCTTCCTTTTGCAGGCCTTAGGTTGTGGGCCAGAAGCACGTTACTCTACCCACCTGTCCCACCTGTGTTGTCTTGATGTCTAAAGGACTGTCACATTCTGCCCTCATTGAGAAAATGCATGGGTTCCTGGAGGCTACCTCTTACAGTAAAACTTTGAGAAAGAAGAATCCTTGCAAACTCTGTGATCAGCATCAGCCCCCCCCCCCGCCCCAATAGACTCCCTGAAGGCTGTCAGACTCCATCCTGCTTTGAGATCTCAGATAAAGCAGAGAGCAATGCGATTTTCAGAGGGAGGATGATAATATAAGTATTTAGACCATCGTGTGTATGTATATCCTATGTGTGTATAAATACTATATATTTATTTTAGTATTTCATTTGTTCTTTCATTTACTCTTTAATACATATTTACAAAGAGTCCTCTGTGCAGTGGCTGTGGATAACCAAGTAAGGTATAATCACAATGTCTACCTTTTAGCCAGATCTTATTGCATATCAGCATTGTGTTAAACATTTTACATTCAAATGCATGAATGCACTTAATCCTTAAAAAAAAAAAAAAAAACAAAACCCTGAAGAAACAGCTCTATTTTACATCTTAGTAAATTGACTCCCAGAAAATTTAAGGACACACATGTAGTCAATATCAGAGTAGGATTCACATACAGGTATGTTTGATGCAAAATGCATTTCCCTATTTACTTTGATGTTGTCTTCCCAAAGATGAATCAAAAGATAAAACCACATTAACTTTCTTTCTTGGAATTCCCCTTCTGTTTGGTGAGGAAAGAAACACATGTGATCTAATTCTGTTGAAAGGGAGGAGAAGGTAGGAGAGGGTAGAGGAAGCCTCTGTGGCTAGAAATTCACTCAGCAGAGAGAAAGGAGAGAGATTTTGGCTGAGTGTGTCTTTGTTGGGTACCAAGAGAACTGAACTCACCCAGAGGCAGAGATATTTCTGGCTCAAAGAGTAATTCTGTCACACAGAATGGAGGGACTGGTCAGTGGGAAATCCTTTAAGGCTGTTTCTCCACTTAATTGCCCTTATCTTTTCCTTCTTTTCATTCTTAGGTTATTTCCAGTCCTTACTAAAAGAGGAACCAGGGAGACTGTGAACTCAGCCAGGTGGAAGTGATAATGATTTTAGAGAAACCACAGGAGAAGGAAGAGCTCCTCCAACCGTCTTCTCACTACCACAATGGGACCCTTATGGATTAACTCTTTCAAGGATGGAGGTGTCTCCTCTCCCTAGAAATAAAAATGCAAGTTTTACGTAGGTTTTAGTGTTGTGTGGAGGGAAAACAAGGACTGATCTATTTGGTTCTCTTCACTTGATTCACCCTGAAGGGCTTGCTGCCCTAGAGATAAGTGGACAGATGAAGAAAAGTAGTATCCCCAGATACCCCGATGAAGCCAATGCTCTCTGAAAGGAAGCAGCCACACATTTAGCCCAGGGAGACCTTTTTGCATCCAGGAGAGTGATTTGGGTCAAAGAAAAGGAGAACAGTGACATTACTGCCAGACTGCTTCTCTAACTAAACCTTTAGCTCTTCTGTTCAGGACAAATGGGAATCAGCCAGCATAGATGTGACCTGTCCTGTCTGCTGGTAACCACAGTATCATAATTCATTGGAGTTTCACTTTAAGTATTTTAAGAATTACCTGTGAGATTTTGAGGGTCAATATTTTAGACTATCATCACTATTGGACTATTCATTTGAATACTTCTGGGGTTTATACCTCTTTTCAAAAGAAACAGTGGGCTTCCCTATATTCATTACAAAGTCTTCCTAGTCTTCAAATCTTCCTGTGAAGTGTCTCTTCTCTAGTCTTTTAAGTATACCGTGTGACTGTATGTCCTCCTATGAGAAGTGTCTGTTCAGGTCCTTGGCCCATTTGTTGATTGGGTTGTTTGTTCTCTTATTGTCTAATTTTTTGAGTTCTTTGTATACTCTGGATATTAGGGCTCTATCTGAAGTGTGAGGAGTAAAGATTTGTTCCCAGGGTGTAGGCTCCCTATTTACCTCTCTTATTGTTTCTTTTGCTGAGAAAAAACTTTTTAGTTTGAGTAAGTCCCATTTGTTGATTCTAGTTATTAACTTTTGTGCTATGGGTGTCCTATTGAGGAATTTGGAGCCCGACCCCACCAAATGTAGATCGTAGCCAACTTTTTCTTCTATCAGACGGCGTGTCTCTGATTTGATATCAAGCTCCTTGATCCATTTTGAATTAACTTTTGTGCTTGGTGAGAGAAAGGGATTCAGTTTCATTTTGTTGCATATGGATTTCCAGTTTTCCCAGCACCATTTGTTGAAGATGCTATCCTTCCTCCATTGCATGCTTTTAGCCCCTTTATCAAATATAAGATAGTTGTAGTTTTGTGGATTGGTTTCTGTGTCCTCTATTCTGTACCATTGGTCCACCCGCCTGTTTTGGTACCAGTACCATGCTGTTTTTGTTACTATTGCTCTGTAGTATAGTTTGAAGTCTGGTATCGCTATACTGCCTGATTCACACTTCCTGCTTAGCATTGTTTTTGCTATTCTGGGTCTTTTAGTTTTCCATATGAATTTCATGATTGCTTTCTCTATTTCTACAAGAAATGCCGTTGGGATTTTGATTGGCATTGCATTAAACCTATAGAGAACTTTGGGTAATATCGCCATTTTGATAATGTTAGTTCTGCCTATCCATGAACAGGGTATATTTTTCCATCTTCTAAGATCTTCTTCTATTTCTCTCTTTAGGGTTCTGTAGTTTTCATTGTATAAGTCTTTCACCTCTTTTGTTAGGTTGATTCCCAAGTATTTTATTTTTTTTGAAGATATTTTGAATGGAGTGGTTGTCCTCATTTGCATTTCAGAGGATTTGTCGCTGATATACAGGAATGCCTTTGATTTATGCGTGTTGATTTTATATCCTGCCACTTTGCTGAATTCATTTATTAGCTCTAATAGTTTCTTTGTAGAGCCTTTTGGGTCTGCTAGGTATAGAATCATATCATCTGCAAATAGTGATAATTTAAGTTCTTCTTTTCCTGTTTTGATGCCTTTAATTTCTTTCGTCTGTCTAATTGCTCTGGCCAGTGTTTCGAGAACTATGTTGAAGAGAAGTGGAGAGAGAGGGCATCCCTGTCTTGTTCCAGATTTTAGAGGGAATGCCTTCAGTTTTTCTCCATTCAGAATGATTCTAGCCTGAGGCTTAGCATAGATTGCTTTTACAATATTGAGGTATGTTCCTGTTATCCCTAGTTTTTCTAGAGTTTTGAACATAAAGGGATGCTGTACTTTGTCGAATGCTTTTTCCGCATCTATCGAGATGATCATATGGTTCTTATTTTTAAGTCTATTGATGTGGTGAATAACATTTATTGATTTCTGTATATTGAACCAGCCTTGCATCCCAGGGATGAGTCCTACTTGATCATGGTGTACAATTTTTTTGATATGTTTTTGTATCCGATTCGCCAGAATTTTATTGAGGATTTTTGCATCTAGGTTCATTAGAGATATTGGTCTGTAGTTTTCTTTCTTTGAAGTGTCTTTGTCTGGTTTAGGTATCAGGGTGATGTTGGCCTCATAGAATGAATTTGGAAGTTCTCCCTCTTTTTCTATTCCCTGAAGTAGCTTGAAAAGTATTGGTATTAGTTCTTCTTTAAAGGTTTTGTAAAATTCTGCTGTATACCCATCCGGTCCTGGGCTTTACTTAGTTGGTAGTCTTTTTATGGTTTCTTCTATTTCCTCAATTGATATTGGTCTGTTTAGGTTTTCTATATCCTCCTGACTCAATCTGGGCAGATCATAAATGCTCAACATCTCTAGCTGTCAGAGAAATGCAAATCAAAACCACCCTAAGATACCATCTCACTCCAGTAAGATTGGCAGCCATTAGGAAGTCAAACAACAACAAGTGCTGGCGAGGATGTGGGGAAAAGGGTACACTTGTACATTGCTGGTGGGACTGCAGATTGGTGCAGCCAATTTGGAAAGCAGTATGGAGATTTCTTGGAAAGCTGGGAATGGAGCCACCATTTGACCCAGCTATTCCCCTTCTTGGTCTATTCCCTAAAGACCTAAAAAGAGCATGCTACAGGGACACTGCTACATCGATGTTCATAGCAGCACAGTTCACAATAGCAAGACTGTGGAACCAACCTAGATGCCCTTCAATAGACGAATGGATAAAAAAAAAATGTGGCATTTATACACAGTGGAGTATTACTCTGCATTAAAAAATGACAAAATCATAGAATTTACAGGGAAATGGATGGCATTAGAGCAGATTATGCTAAGTGAAGCTAGCCAATCCCTAAAAAAACAAATGCCAAATGTCTTCTTTGATATAAGGAGAGTAACTAAGATCAGAGTAGGGACGAAGAGCAGGAGAAGAAGATTAACATTTAACAGGGATGAGAGGTGGGAGGGAAAGGGAGAGAGAAGGGAAATTGCACGGTAATGGAAGGAGACCCTCAGGGTTATACAGTGGAGGGGGTAGAGAGAGAGGAGGGGAGGGGAGGGGAGAGGTGGGGAGGGGGGAGGGTGGAGGATGGGAAAGGCAGCGGAGCACAACAGACACTAGTATGGCAATATGTAAATCAATGGATGTGTAACTGATGTGATTCTGCAATCTGTGTATGGGGTGAAGGTGGGAGTTCATAACCCACTTGAATCAAAGTGTGGAATATGATATGTCAAGAAATTTGTAATGTTTTGAACAACCCACAATAAAAATTTAAAAAAAAAGTATACCGTGTGACTGAATATGAAGATGGGATATTTACATGTATCCTTGTCTATTGTATCAAAGATCATTAAAAAAAAAAAAAGCCTGTCGTTAAAGCCCCCAAGTGATTGGATTGGCATGAGGAACAGGAATGGGGCTGGCATGGAAGAGAGGATCTGACTCTGGGATTTCATGAAATCCCAAACAATAGGACAGCTGCTTTTCCATACACAGGTTATTATTATTATTTCTACCTAGACAGCTTGATAGCAGCCATTATCTTCTTTCTGGGTGTCTTATCAAGTTCCGGCTGTGTGCAGCATGGGCGATAAGGAATGAGGAATGTCACCCATGGGATTGCCAAGGATTATTTCTATGCACTGCTGGTCAGCAACGGCCGGGCCCTCAGAACTGAAAAGGAGCCCTATTGTTCATGCGGGCAGTTGCTATTCTGAGGACACCAAGAGAGCAGAAAGAGGATGTATTTGCCATTGTGTGTAAGATTGAAATTTCATGACTCTCAGCTAAAGTTCAAGCAGTCTTGATTTTGAAAAGCATAGTCATTGTGGAATATCTTTGAAGAGGGAGAAGACAAGGGAAGGAAAGAAGAATGAAATGAGTTCAGAGCTCTTCAGAACTATGAGAGAGTATAAAGAAAGAAGAGAGGTGTAACACTGTCAAACACTGGAACTTAAAATGCTAGGCATACTGGGCCTCAGAGGAATTGAGCAGTATCCCATAACCATGACTTGTGCTCTAGTTGCTTAATGTAAAGACTCCAGGCTTCATTACTCATCAGAAAATAGCCAATTTGCTGGATTTCTGTTTCATTGTCTCTGTTTCATCCCAAATTCTTGAACACAATCAATCTGTTGATATTAAATTTTTTTCCTTTTCTCTTCAATGAAGAAATGAATATTTTATTAGAGATATGCTGGCTTTGAATGTTAGAGAAAAAAAATAGGATCTCTTTGAATTTTTATTTCAGTATTAGAGCTTCCCAACCTTTTATCTTCTTAGAGAAAAGACTGCATTAGAAGAATATGAAAACTCAAATGTACAAATAACCCACAGTATGTTCATATAGAATTCCCCCAAAGGGTTCTGAGTGCTTCAGTCTTCTTCATACACAGTTTTAGGGTCATGCTGACAGTATAATGTAAGCCGCTTGGAAGTGGGCCAAATCAAATTTTTCCAACATTTTAAAATCACTCTTCTGAAATTGGAATTTCAAATGAATAAAATACTTTGCTCTTATATCAATAGCTTCAGGAAAAAAGAACCCAGTCACGGAATCATTAAGATGAGGCATAGAAGAAAGGGCAAAGGAAAGGGCAAAGAGAGGGCACGAAGAAGTCAGGAGGACTTGGGAGGAGAGAAGGGGCTTTTACTCCCCTGTGGAGAGCCTGATTCCAGCAGGGCCAGGACCTGGTTTCTGTGTTTCTGCAATAGCTCACATGGAGTAAACACTCAGGAGGTATCTGTCGGCTTCAGTGTTAAGATCTCTGAAGGAACATCACTCCTAAACAAGTTATTTTTATTTTTCAGCCTTTAATCATTTAGTCAGAAGCCTAGATTATCTTTAACTTTAACATAAATGTGAAATATCTTGTTAAAAACCCAGAGTCTAATTCAGAAACCTTGGGCTAGACTCTGAGACTCTGCTGAGACTCCCAGACCATCCTTTCCGTGGAATGCACTCTGAGTAACCAGGTATTGGGATCAGGCATAGTAGCTTGGGCCAGGAGCCATGAGCTCTGAGTTCTAGTCTCTGACATGAACCATCTGTGCTTTCAAGCTGGATTTCCCGGCTTCAGCCTCACCACCTGGATAATGAGTAGGTAGATCTATATAATTTCTAAAGTTCTTATTAGTCTTAATATTTTAAAAGAAAGAGAGAATCCCTAGTCTCATTCTGTCCCTCAAAATCTAGGGAGGATGATCACTCCCTTCTGAAGCTGCATGGAGAATTTGGCATAAATGCCCAGTGCTTCATCTGATTCCCTGGTTTCGAGTACAGTGATTTTTCCACTATAATTTTTTAATCATTAATTTTTAATGAAATACCTACAATTTGTCTGATGCAAGGCCAAGTGCCTGGAATACAAAGATGAGTAAGTTAGAATTATTACAAAATCCCTTGCTTGATTAACATGCCATAAGGTGACAACCAAGAATCTAATCAATGTCAATGCATAATGTTCATGTTAATATGCTAGGCTTTCCTTCTTTATGATATTAAACATACACATATTTTATGTTTATGTATTAGTTCTGTGAATCAAACCCTGAGCCTTGCACATCGATGTGACATATTAATGGCTACAATAGACTGCTTGAATATGATCCTAATTCTCTATGTCTTTTCATGCCCATTCACTCTTTTTGCTTGTGTCAAAAGATGGCATGTCGGGCTGGGGATGTGGCTCAAGCGGTAGCGCGCTCGCGTGGCATGTGTGCGGCCCGGGTTCGATCCTCAGCACCACATACAAACAAAGATGTTGTGTCTGCCGAAAACTAAAAAAATAAATTAAAAAAAAAAAAAGATGGCATGTCTTTCTCCAGTCCTTGAATTTGGGCTGGACCTGTGACTTGTTCCGGCCCACTCTATGCAACAGAAAGAACAACCTGCCAGCTCTAAGCTCAGGCTGTAAGCAACTCTGTCCACTTTTGTCTCCTCTCTCAGACTCCTGCTGCTGTCACAGGAACAAACCTGGGAAAAACTGGTGGACAAAGGATCAGAAGAAATGACAGTTGTCCCAGCAGGCCAACCTGAGCAGGCTACAGGTGGTCATCCCACAAATGTGTGTGAAAGTCCAGCCAAGCGGAACAGAGTTGCTAACCCAACCCAAGATAACCACAGATGTACAAGTGAACTGGGCTGAGAGCAGAACTGCCCAGCTGACCCAGAAACTTGGAAGCAATAAAAATGCCTGTTAGAGTCACTAAACTTGGCGTGATCTGTTATGCAGCATAGCAGAGTGGTATGAGGGCCTTCTGAACACAGAGTGTGAACTCAAATAAATGGGTCTGGTTTGTATTCTCCCTGGAGCACAGTAGGTAAGATATTGTGGGGGTAGCACAGAGTTTGCTCCTTCTTCCACGACTTTGAAAGAAAGGAAGAAGTTAACTCACAATTATTTTTAGTTTACTGGTAACAGTGAGATGTGTTCTATGAAAGGAAGGAGTTCTCAGTTTAGAGGGTAAGAAGCATAAAACAGGGGCAAGATCTGAGATCAGGAAAAAAAATAAAAGAATTTTCAAGTTCTGGATTTGCTGTGTATATGTGTACACACACACACACACACACACACACATTACCCAGAGCTTCAGTCTTATTTCTGATAGCTACCTGACTTCCTTGAAAGGTGTTCATGAGAACCAACAGATGTGGTAAATATCAAAATGCTCTATAAAATCCTAAACAATATACCAGTATTGTTACATTTGAATATTCTACTCAGTTTGCTTCATTTTTATATGATTGTTTCTAATATTCATTTGAGAAGTTATGAATCCCTTTCTAACTCTAATAATACTTACTATATATACATTTCAATTTTCTAGTTGCTTTTGTATAAATTACTTCATTTTTGATTCTCTAATGATGTCCTGAATAGCATATTTTTAAATTTTCTCATTTTGCACATGAGGAACCTCTACTGTCTTCTAAATGGTGGAATTTACAAAAGGGAGATCATGGATAAGGTTTTCTCAAGCAGAAATACCACAATCTTGGAGTTTTCTTTAAAAGAGTCAAACTTGGTGAATCCATCAGATCTTTGACTTTGTCGTCTAGTATAAACCTGACCTAGCATTACAATTTTTTCATTTATCCCAATTCTTTTCATAATAGCCATTGTTCTGTGAAATGTCATTCTTTTTCTTCCCAAGACATTTTTAAAAGGAGAAAAACATAATGGTTACTCTGAAACTGCATCTTGGCTCAGGATTTATATTTTTAAACCATCAAATTGTCTATATAATGAAGTTAGTGGACTGAACATATAATTAAATCAGAGACTTCAGCTAAGAATTTTTGTTTACAATTATGTAGTTGCTTTGGCTGATGTTGTAGATACAGGTAGAAAAAGATTATACTTAAAATACTACAAAGGCCTAACTCTGTTATTGGCTGGACACAGACTATTGATTTAAGTTTAACCCAACAATTTTAGAGCTAATTAAAATTCTAATTAATTTTCCTTTCTCTACTTAATTTCAAGTCCTATAGTTAATTTGAGTATTTCTTATAACAGTTCCAGTTGTATCACATTTTGATACTGTGAAAGGTAATTTCTATTTTGACTATATTATAATAGCTCATTATAATGAGAACCCAACTTCTAAGTATTTAATTGGTTTAACTTATATAATTTTAATTGGTTTAACTCATATAATTTTCACAAGATCCCCATCAGGATGAGGTTTATTATTATCCCCATTTTTTAGATGTAGTAACTGAGGCAAAGAGAGATGCTAGTCAGTGACAGAGCTGGATTTTTAGCTCAGGTAATTTGAATAGGAAATTTCTATACTATATGATATACTATTTGTTTGTCAGCCTTTCTTTAAGTCAGATACCAAGAAAAATGATATGTATACATCTAGCTATGGCAATGCTATATCATCAAAAATTATATCTGTTCACAAGCCATCTGGGGACTTGTGGTAATCCATCTCCAGTAGGACATTTTCCCATGTATTAGAAATATTAAGGGAAATAAAATAAGTTGAAGAATATTACCTCTTATTGAACTTGA